TTCAACAAAAATAATTGAGGTTCTCAAATGATAAGATTTCTTCTAAATTTTGCAAAATAAAAAATCAAATACTAAGTATTTAAGTTTTTTTCCCTGCAAAACATATTTTTAAGTTAGTGGAAAACAAATGAAGATATAATTTGAATTACGAATAATCTTTTGAACTTTCTAATTTTTAAAAAAAAACATGAGGTTTATGCAAAAATTTTAGAAAAAATTATGTATAACTCCAATGGAAGCGACTTATTTACAAATACTCTCTCTGATCTTATTTATAAGTCACTTCTAATATGTTTCACTTGAATCAAAAAAAAATTAAATCTCATTAACTTTGTCTTAAAATTTACAAGTTTTTCCCTTTACCCTTAATAAATATTCTTAAGTCTTGTTATTAATAGTTTTATTCAAAACATTTAATAAGGATAAAAATATAAAGGAAAGCGTTGAGAATTGACAAGTATTCTTTTTTCTCTTTCTATCTTATAAAAAGTATCAAAGGAGTAAATCTCATAAAATTTAAAAGTTGCAGTCAAGTCTGTTAGGACTTGAATATAATTTGTGATTAATATGCAAAGACAATACTACCCTTACTTTTTAAGTTACAATGACAAAAATACCCCTCTCGCTTAATTAAACAGGCCGCGCGCCCCGTTAATGCTCACGATCGCTCTATTCATGTTCGTGATGGCTTTGTCGCGTTCTTCTTTTTCTTCACCAAGCATTGTGATTGATGCTCTCTCTGCCTTGTTCTTGTTCACCAATCAAAGCCTACAGAATTGTTAGGGCAAAATCCATGATGACGAGCAACTTCTTCATCATTAATTGCTTCTCCTTGTTCTTATAATTGCTTAGCACGCTAAAAGCCCTATCTGAATCAATCGGTAAGATTTCATTATTCAATTTAAGTTTAGTTTTTGTTATTTAATTTTTCAGACTGTGCTATGATCAAAGTCACTAGGTACAAGGTATAGGAAAGGAGATTTGACATTGGAAAAATGTTTGAACATTTGCTCTACTAGATACAATTAAAAAAAAAAAGACAAAGAGACCTAGTTTAATTATGGGGAAAAAGTTACACAGAAAAAAATTAGTTTGAGTAATCCTATAAATTATGTGAAAAATTAAAATGATAGTTGTAAATTATTGATAAGATAATTGTAAACAATTACCGTTAAACTTTATTAGTATCGCATGATCGGTTTAACTGTTAGATATGTGATATTTGTAAATTATTGATAGGGTAGTTGTAAATTATAATTTGATTTAATTTAACAAGGGTAGTATTATCTTTGCACCATAATATCAAATTACACTAAGGTTTCAAGAGACTTAATTATAATTTCTTAAATTTATAAGAATTATTTGTAGATAAGTTGCTTCCATATGACCTACATGTAATATTTCCAAAATTTTACATGGTGTTAGAGTGGTTTTAATAAAAAAATATTTAAAAAAACATGTGACTTTCGTTCTCATTTATAAGAAAATTGTTGAACTCTTATTTTATCCTAAAATGTAAGTGAATTGGAGGTAGTCAGTTGTGTAATTACTGCACTCTTCACATTTTACCCTTCATTTAATTATCATAAATTAATAAAGATGTTACTTCACTTAAATTACTTTCTTAAAAAAATTGTGGTATATTTAAAGTATTTAATTAACAAAACTAATTTTTTCTTAGTATTAAGAAAAGTAATTACCTTCTTCATTCAAAATATAAAGTATTTTTAACCTACTTTTAAACTAACCCTATATTTTTATATTTACTTCTATTAAACACCTTATAATAAATATAAAGTTATTCATCAATAGGGGTATTTTAAAAAAAAAGGTAATAACTACACCTCAAAAAACTAAAAATACCTTACATATTTTAACATCCAACTTCTTAAAAAATGTCTTATATTTTTAAACAAAGAGAGTATTTATTTTTTATATTTGGAGAAGGAGGGAGTACATAGTATCATCAAAATATAGCATCATCAATGTGTGTGTATCTATCTATATATTAAGAAAAAATCCTAATAAGCTTAAACTTCATGAACAGTAGAATCCACATTACAAGCTAGCTTCATCCATATGAAAAATTCAAAATCTTTAAAAATAAAAAAAGTTACAATAAGATAAATCAATTATTCAATTAATTAAAAAACAAAAAAAGAATGATCATACTATTCATGATATGAGGGGTGCAAAATGTAGTTTGTGTCCTGAGTCATAACCCAGCTTGGGAATGAATTAGAAAATAAAAAAATTAACAACAAAATGAAAAATTAATTTATTTTCTGGTGTTCCTCTTATATTTTTTGAGTTCTCCTTACTCAAAATATTTGTCGGAACAAAATTAAGATTTTCCAGGATTAAGAATACTTAATTTTTCATTTTGTTTACAAAATATTAAAAGAGTTTTTCCAGATGTAGCTCATGTTGTCAAAATAAATTAAGCAAACAGCCCAATATTTATTATATTTTACATTTTAGACAGTTTATTATATTTGTTAGTGGTATAACATTATTTATTAATAATAAATTCTCATAAATTTTTAAATTTTTAATTATAAAACCCTTATATGTCAATATAAATAAGTCATACTCCGAAACTTTTAAAAATTTGATCCATGCTTTTTGGGCACAATTTTTTTTCCAACTAGTGAGCTAATTTATCCAATATTAAATTAAGAAACAATTCAAAATTTTAAATAAAATTAAAATACTTGAATATTAAAAAGGCTTCATGAATATATAAGATATATTAAAATTCTTAAAATATATAAAATAAAATAAAATGCGTTATACAATGCATATCATAATATTTAAAATCGAGTCAACCTGGTTAATTGAAGTAGTAAATCATTGAATTAATATTTTGATTGATTTAATGAAATGCTTTATTCATAATTTTGATCGTTAACTCTTAAATCAATACCTTAATTAATTTAATAATTAGTCTGATTTTTAATAGACATTAATTAAGCAAGATGCCTCGCTGTACCTATCAAGCCAACTTGGCCTGACTCTATTTGTAATTTCCCCTCTTGTTTTGACGTTGCCCAAAGCAATCACTAAGTAGGCACGACTTTGCCAACCATACTAGTTGAACATCCTATTTTAGTAACATATATATATATATATATATATAAGAAAATAAAAAATTAAAATTGAAGGTTGACCGTAGGGTATTAGAGATGCCCGCAGATATCGTGTAAAGCTGCGTACATCAATCAATATATCGGTAACCAAAGTTACCAAACTTCACCAACATCTCACATTATTCCAAAAAGTGTATTATACGATTCTATCTAATCAATCTATACTCTAACATGCATCCACGTACTTCTTTCTAAATCACAAAGAAACGCAATAATTAATTAATAAAAGTTAAAATGTACACTTGACTCTAATCAAGTTTTATATGCATCCGTTTAAAAATATAAAATATTTTTAATTAAATTTTATTTTTAATAAAATAATTATCTATTTTTAAATTAATACTATATTTTTATATTTACTTTTATTAAATATTTTATAATAAATATAAAGTTATTCATTAATAAAAATATTTTTTTAAAAAGGATAATAATTACACTTCAAAATATTAAAAATGTCTTATATTTTTAAATGGAGAGAATAATAAATAAATAGATATTGACAAACAACTGAGTGTAATTATAAAAGAAGATGACGTAGGTATTTAATTTTATATATATTTAATATATTTTTTTCAATTAAATAGGTACAAGTGAATTTTGAAATTTTCAAAAAGTTAAAATTTTACTAACAAGAGTTACTGAAAGGATAAATCTATATATATATATATATATATATAACATTAAATATAATTTTTTAATATAAAAAAGTGAAATTATTTATGATTAATACGCTGTATACTTTTTATATTGTATATTCATCAATTAGTATTTAGTAGCACCGATATTTATATATAGCAAAATCTATGAGAAGCTACTTTATAAACTCCCTTCGTTCAAACTCAGGGCTGTGAAAGCCACAAAGCAAGTGAGACAATTGTCTTAGGTTAGGATTGATATTTATATTATTATATATTTAATTTATTTGTTTTTTTCTATTGAAATACTTCAATCATTTTTAGTGTAACATTTTTTTTTGGGCCACACCTTTTATCTATATAAAAAATAAATAGTGAGATCCGTGATATATTAATTTGCATTACTTTCACCTTGCTCTCCAACTCTCTCTCATGTTTCACTTTTCGTTTTCTCATTTTCTTATTCTATAACATAAAACATTGTCAATTATCAAAGTTGTGTGTAGTTTTAGATCATCAAGGCGACAATTTTAAACCTTATTAAAATTTTATTTATAATTTATATAATTATTATTGATTTTTCACATTATTAACCATTGAAAATCATCAATATTAATTATATCTTTTTCTAAATGTATTGCCACCTCATGTCAATGTTAATATTCATATTCATATTCCATCCTCACATATAAAATGCAGTAAGAGCACTTTGTCACTAATTTTCATCTCTCTATCTAATTAATTTAAAATTTAATTAGAATTACTCTAATAAAAAATTTAATACATGATGTTAAAAATGATGAGTGATTTTTTTTTTTTAAAGGGGCAAGTACATTAGCAATAATTTTACCTAAGGCTTCAAAATTTCTTGTAAGACATTCTTTTTTAAGTTTGGATGTTCAAAAATTAAAAAAACACCCTATATTATGAACAGAAGGAAATTCTTTTAAAATAATTGACACACACATGAAAAATTATTTAATTTTTAAGTTATTAAAATAATTTAACTTAATTTCTTTAATTTTAATTTTAAAAATAAAATCAATGTGAAAGATACAGGCATGAGAGAGGCATAGATGCTGTTGATTAATGGCGATTCACTTGCTTTATTGCTTTTGTGACAACACGGTACACACGCACAGACGTCGTCGCGGCAATTAAAAGTTCGTTGGGGTGGTTGCATCCACTTCTCTCTTCCCTTTAAATCCCCCTCCTCTTCTGATCTTTCCCACCATCTTCTTCATTCTCTCTCTCTCGTTCTTCTCTTTCACAGTCTTCATCAGATTCAGATATTCACAACCTTCTCTCAATTTAATCCACAAATTCCTCGGTTATTATTAAGTGCCTTTAATCATCACCAGTACTCACACATGGCGGATCCTCAGCCCAATCATCGTCCTCAGCAGGATTCTCCTTCTTCGGCGTCCATTTCTGTCGAGCAAGGTCCGGCTAGAACCACCGCCTCCACGCTCCCAAACTTCCTCCTCTCTGTCCGCCTCAAGTACGTCAAGCTCGGCTACCACATCCTCATCTCCAACGCCATGTACCTCATCCTCGTCCCAGTCCTCGCCGCCGCCTCCGCTCACCTCTCTACCATCTCCTTCCATGACCTCCTCCAGCTCTGGGAGAATCTTAAGTACAATCTCGTCTCCGTTACGCTTTGCTCCAGCCTCATCGTCTTCCTCGTCACTCTCTACTTTATGAGCCGCCCGCGGGCCGTGTACCTCGTCGATTTCAGCTGTTACAAGCCGGAGCCGGAGAGGATTTGCACCAGGGAGATCTTCATGGAGAGATCTGGCCTCACCGGGTCGTTTACGGAGGAGAATTTGGGATTTCAGAAGAAAATTCTGGAGAGGTCCGGGTTAGGGCAGAAGACGTATTTGCCACCGGCGGTTATGAGTGTTCCGCCGAATCCGTGTATGGCGGAGGCGAGGAAGGAGGCGGAGGAGGTCATGTTTGGGGCTATTGATGGGCTTCTGAAGAAGACGGGAGTGAAGGCGAAGGATATTGGGATTTTGGTGGTGAATTGTAGCTTGTTTAACCCTACACCTTCGTTGTCCGCCATGATTGTGAACCATTACAAGCTCAGAAGCAATGTTCTGAGCTTCAATCTCGGTGGTATGGGTTGCAGTGCCGGCCTCATCTCCATCGACCTCGCCAAACAGCTCTTGCAGGTAAATTAATTTATTTTCAATCTCCTTCAATCGTTTTTTAATCTAAAATTTCTGAAAACATTGACTCAATAGTACCCTAATTCAACTCATTGTCCTTCAATCTTAAATTTTGAATGATATTTTATTTATAAATTACTTTTACTAATATGACCAATACTAATAAAAATTTTAAAATTCATTCACTTTATCTTAAAATTTAATAAATTATTAACTTTATTCTTATTAAAAATATATATATTAATAATATATTTTTTTAATATTTAATGAAGGGTAAAATAAAAAATTTATAATAAAAATTTATAAAATAATTTATAAATATGATAAAAAAATTATTCTCTCTATTTTATAAATAAAATCAACGTGAGTACTAAGCTCGCAAGTTAATCCATAGCAATTGAGTCATGGTGATAGATGTTAGGCCTTGTGCTTTCTGCTGACTTCTTGAGTTAATTAGACCAATAATTAGATTTTTCTTCAGTCTAAATATATCTTAATTTTTCCTATAAATATGCAAAAAGTTAAAACATGGTTAATGAATTTGACTTGAAATAAATTGTGTGTTACGTTACGATGTGATATTTATATTAATAATATTCTCAATATCAAAGCATCAATATAATATTTAAATTTAGAAAACAAGAATACTATGATGTATTTTTCATACTCTGTATAGGAAAAAAAAACATACAGATTTTGAAGTGATTTAATGTTTCATAATATAAGTTTCTCATTTTATAAGATATTTTTTTGGATTGATTTAATATTTCATAATATAAAATGTTTTTATAAAAATAATGATTCATTAATAACATTTATCCTAAAATTACTTTTCAATATTTTATTTTTTAAATATTTTTTTTCTACATGAAGGATATCTTTAAAAGTTATATGTATGTATATATATATATTACAAAATTAAGAAAAAAATTACATTTAGTAAAATTCATTGGCATTATCAATTGAAAAAAAAACTTACATATTTAATATGTTTTTCTTTTATCAAATTAAAATAAGTGAATCTTAACGTGTTGATAATATTAATAATAAAAATTTATTATAAATTATATTATATATAAAATATTTATTGAATATAACTACATTAATATCTAAGTTTTGTCCTTTACGATCTTATCCAAAAACACGTTTTATAAAATGGGGTGGAGGTAATAATTAGTATGGGTATTTCGTATGTCATCTATTCTAACATTTAAGAAATGACTCACGCTCTTTGTAAAGGATGAATGAGATTTGATTGAGTTTTTGTTATTATAATTATAATTATAATATTATATATATATATATATATATAAAGTGTATTTTCAAAATAATAAAGAAAGAGTAAGATGTAATATCAAAAGGTTGTAAATAATTTATTATTTAATTGCACTAAAAGCAAGTGATGATGTCAAAGTATGGGGCCCATAGGATCTGTGTAAATGACAGTTGGCCACATGTTGTGATTGTGGGCCCATTGGAAATGTGCACATGTCAGTCCAGCTGGCCCATATTCAAAGGCCAGGTTGCTGGCAGTTTGGTTAGGTTAGCCACCCCTATTCAATCAATACCCTTTTCCCAAACCTTCAAGTTTCCCTCTACACTATTTGTTATTATCTAAGAACTATTTATTCTTATTAACTATTCTTACACAAAATATCAACGTATCTCTATTTTTTTTTCTATTTTTGTTTATTGTTCTGTGTCCTGGACCTATATAATGTGGACCCTTTTACGTCCTGTGCCTTTCATTGAGCTGTTTGAATTGATTTTACACCTCATGAACTATCTGGTTATATTGACCTATTGGGTCTGTTCTTTAAAAGCACATTATACTCGTATATGTTTAAAATAATTATTTCAAACAAAACTAATATTATGTTCAGAATGTTTATAGTTAAATTTTTTGTATTTTTTTTTACACAGGCTGAATGCATTTGAAATTGAGTTTAGCCTAAAATATAGTTAGTGACGTAGTGAAAAGAAATTGTTGCATACAGTCAATATTCATAAACATCCTCAATGTTAAATTATAAGTAATTGTTAAAGTATAAATGTCAATGTTATAATATAGAGAGTATATACTATCCAACATATCTTTAATATATACTCTCTCCATTTTAAAATATAAGACATTTTTTGAAGAGTTAATTGTTAAAAAATGTGAGACATTTTTAATCTTTTCAAGTATGATCATTGTCTTTTTTTAAAAATGCCCCTATTAATGAATAACTTTATATTTATTATAGGTGTTTAATATGGATAAATATGAAAAGATAAGGTTAGTTTGAAAAAAGATAACTAATTTATTGAGGGATGAGATTTGATTAAAAATGTCTTATATTTTTGAACGGAGAGAGTACTCTATGCTCCTTCCAATTCTATTTTTTTTTCCAACTTTATCCCTGCGTCCTTTTAATTTGTAGACAATATTTTATTATGATTATTAATTTTAATGAAGAGGAAAAAATGAAAAGTCACATTTCAAATTTAAGCATAAAATTAGTTAATTTTATTTTATAATTAGGATACGGGAAGTAAAGTTACTTTAAAACTATCTATATTCATAAGATATTTGTATTAAATATAACAATTCATTTTTTGTGTCTTCACTCTCAAATAGCTAGGTACTTTTTAGATCATAAGATATTAATTAATTAAATTAAAGTTGCAAAATTGTTTAAAAAAAAAAACTAATCTTTGAGCTTTGATCAATGATACAGGTTCATCCCAACTCGTACGCCCTTGTTGTGAGCATGGAGAACATCACTCTCAACTGGTACTTCGGCAACAACCGTTCCATGCTCGTCTCTAACTGTCTCTTCCGTATGGGCGGCGCCGCCATCCTCCTCTCCAACCGTTCCTCCGACCGCCTCCGTGCCAAATACCAGCTCGTCCACACCGTCCGTACACACAAGGGTTCCGACGACAAGTCCTACGGCTGCGTCTTCCAAGAAGAAGACGACACCAAACGCATCGGCGTCGCCCTCTCCAAAGACCTCATGGCCGTCGCCGGCGAAGCCCTCAAGACTAACATAACCACTCTCGGCCCTCTCGTCCTCCCCATGTCCGAACAACTCCTCTTCTTCGCCACACTCGTCGCCAGAAAAGTATTCAAGATGAACAAAATCAAACCCTACATTCCTGACTTCAAGCTCGCTTTCGAGCACTTCTGCATTCACGCCGGAGGTAGGGCTGTTCTTGACGAGTTGGAGAAGAATCTAGAACTTTCCGACTGGCACATGGAACCTTCTAGAATGACTCTTTACAGGTTCGGGAACACATCTAGCAGCTCTCTGTGGTATGAACTTGCTTACACAGAAGCTAAAGGAAGGATCAAGAAAGGTGATCGGACATGGCAGATTGCATTTGGGTCAGGATTCAAGTGTAACAGTGCAGTGTGGCGTGCACTGAGGACAGTTGATCCTAAGAAAGAGAAGAACCCATGGATGGATGAGATTCATGAGTTTCCCGTTGAAGTGCCCAAAGTGGCAGCCATTAAAAATGGCTCATGAGTTGATTACAGTAACAATAAATTTCAACTGATAACGATGATGATGATGAGGAGGATCCTAGGTAGTAAGTGATGATAACCGAAGATTTTAGTTGTGTATTGGATGGTTTATTTTGAAGTTCGATTTCTTCAGGGGTTCTGTGTGTGCGTGCGTACACCATTAATTGTTGTTCCAAGTGAAAACATGATTCTTCATAAGAGAATTAAAGATTTGATTTCAATTGATATATGTGTCTTCATGTCGTCCCTAATTATAACGTGTATGCAAATAGTTTAATTATTTTCTTCTGGTCTAAAAAGGGACGATCTGGACAAAAAGCAAATATAGAAAATTTAATAAAGTGCTATGATATTGGAAAGGCAGAAAAAGTGGATTTTCTTTTGCTAGTAAGAGTTCGATCAAAAGTACGTCCTATATAATTCACTCTCTAAATTAATGTTTGTTTTTTGAGTTTATGGTATTTATTATAGATAAAAATCAAAATCAAAATAATTTTTAAATAATTTCAATAACATAATTATTTTTTTTTGAAAACACAATTTTTAGTCCTTATAATTTTATCGCCTTTTGTTTTTAGTTCCTGTAATATTTTTAAAATATTTTTAGTCCTTGTAGGTACTAAAATCACTAAAAAATAGAAACTATAGAGAGCTAAAAAATAAAGATCACCCAATCTTTTTGAAACTATAGGGATTAAAAATACTAAAAAATTATAGGAACTAAAAATAAAATTTGATAAAATTATATGAATTAAAGATTATGTTTTTTCACTTTTTTTTATTATCATGAGTTAATTACAAGTTAATTATAATAGGAATGGGTATAAATTATTTTTTAATCAAATTTTGAATATCTATAAACGTTTGTTATTTCGTTGAAAGCACCTAAAATTATAATTTTTTTAATTTTTCTCCTAATAATACTACAATTAATATCATAATGGTGGGTCAAGCATTTAATTAATATTGTCTCCCATTTACAAAACAATAAGGGAAAATTGTCAAATTACTAAAAAAAATCATAATACCCTTTATATTTAGTGACAAAATATATAATTTAGAGTCCCTATATTATAAGTCACCTTTTAAAAAGATTATTTGTTCCTTGATATAAGGCAATTGATGTGATATTAATTATATTTTTTTAATATTATCTTATTTAAATCCATTAACTATGAGAGAGAATGTAATGTAAAGTTAAAAAAATTTTATTTAAATAGAGATAAAATTAAAAGTTTATTCTATTTTTAAACAAATTTTATGTTTTAATCACCTCTTCTTAATTCTAACAAAGTAGTTAAATATGCTCTATAACAAGGATCCAAGGGAATAAACTTTTAGAACACACTATATATGTGAAGACAGAATAAGTAGTTTTCAAGTTGCGTGCTTATTTAGATGGCGACCAAATGTGTACTGAAAGAGAAGTAATAGTGTGTCAAAATTGGTGGATTAATCCGGTCAATTAAGCATTAAATCATAGGAAGCAGAAATTGTATATTATTCCTTTCGTCCCAAATTATAAGATATTTTTAGACAAAATAATACACAGTAATAAAACTTATTAAATATATTTTATAATCTTACTTTTTTAAAATAAAAATATAAACTTTTAAAAATATTCCTCATTCATTCTCTATTTATAAAGAATTTAAACAGAGAGAATATATGATAATAATAATAATATTAAAAAATATCACTAATAAAATTTTATTTTTTATCAAAATATATTATATATATCTTGAAATGTTAAATCTTTCTCAAAAATATTTTATAATTAATTTGGGATGGGGGGGAGTAGTATTTGTCTTGGAGATCTGCATTTAATTCACATCGTGGGTCAAAGTTGGTAGATTAATAAATTATTAGCGGCCAGAATAGGCTAAAAATTTTGAATGACATGCACTAATTAATGTTCCTTGATAACTTCATCAACCCAAAATCAGTAGTCAGTACATTAGGCTTAGGCATGTCATAATTTTCTCAATTATGGGTGGGATGATTAAAGAGGACCCCTGAAATTTTCCTACTTATAACATTTATTATGGCATGCTGAACTGGTAATTAAACTTAGGTGGTTGATTAAATAGATTTATGTGACTAGGCAACCATATTGATTTGATTTGACTAAAATAAAACCTTATTCCCTTTTGAGGATAGGTTCAAAATCAGCATATTCTTTAATGGTTTGTGATATCTTATTTACTTATATGATAGTTTGATAGATTATCGCTTATTAATTTATTTCTTTCGTAGTCAATAATCATGCGGTATTTAATATTCTTTCGAGCAAAAAATATAAGATATTTTTTGAGCAAAAAATATAAGATATTTTTTAAAGTATTATATATTAAATAATGTAAGATATTTTTAATATTTTAAGGTGTTATTAATGTGTTTTTTTTTCAAAAATATCCTCAATAAATTAATCATTTTATATTTTGTTAAATGAAATACTCTATTAAATAAAGATAAATGTAGAAAGATTGTATTAATTTAAAGGCACTTAATTAATTTATTAGGAATAATTTTTAATTTAAAATATTTTATATTTTTTAACGAAGTAAGTACTACGTGACAAATGTCTCATTTTATAAGACATTTTCAAAGTTTTTTTTATTGGTGATTTGTGATCTCAAAATATAATATTTTTTTGAAAAAAAATAAGGTTTAATTAATAATAAGTATTTCAATATCACTTATCATAATTTCACTCCTTAAATAAGTTTTTTCCCTCTCTTACTAATAAAAGATATTTTAATTTTTAAAGTTTCTAGAAAAAAATTAAAATTATAAATTGTATTTAATAAACTTTATTGATATATCTAATTTTATCAAAAAAAAATATTTTATAAATGAAAACGCAGTGACTACAATTTTATCAAGACGTTTTGTTGTCTTTTGGGTTAAGCCCTGAAAGAATGTTCTTCCTGTAACACATGACATTGAGCAAATGATTAAAGACTTTTAAAAGGATATAGCTCAAAAGCTGTACGTATAATTACATGTTTGATTGTGTTTCTATTTTAAGAATGACGAAAAAAAAGTATGAGAACTACAACCAAAACATTGTTAAAAGTATAGGGGTAAATTACTATATTTTCACTTTTTTAAAAAATAAGATAAATATCTTTATAACAATAAGTCAAATTACCTTTTTTAATATATTTCATCCTTTTATTAAAAAAATAAACTTAGGATTAGTTCCATAAGATTATTTTTCACAGAATGCTCATTAGTTTTTCACCATTAGGTAAATGGAACTCAAGCAGAATGAGTCCTGAAAATAATTTTGAAACTCTTGAACTAAATTAATAATAAACTCATTATGAAAATTGAAAGGCTATATTCCTTTTTCCTCCAAATTTGATGATGAATGTCTACAATTTTGTCTTAATCCAATGGATCATACCTTCATTAGATATTGAAGAAGAAATAATGCAGTGAATTGAAGAGCACCAAATCATATTTTTTGAAGAATGTCTCCAAGGGAAAGAGAAGAATTAGATGTTATCAAAAAACACAACAAAAAAAAACATATAAAAATTAGTTATATATTAGTTTCCAAATGAACAACAATTGTTTGTAATAAAGTTTTAACTTGGGAGAATGATATTTAGATCTCAAAACATTGAATTAATAAGATTTGATTCCCTAGAAAAAAAAATTGTTTTTACTAGTAGAGATTTAAATAGTTATAAACAGAAATATTGATTACAATATGAGAATTACATTTGAAATTTGAATGCTTTATCTGTAATTAAAAATCTTAAATGCAATTATTTTAAACTGCCAAATAAAATCCCAAAGCTCGGTTCTTGTATTAAACTCCATGACTGTTAATGTTTAAGCAGATATTCAAAGCCTTTTTTGACAAAATAATTGCCATCTATGTTGCCTTTTCAATATCAACTTATCTTCCATGGTCCATGATATGACTCTTTACAAAATTTAGTGAAATATTTATGATATATTTTCAAAAGTTCCCTAATATGCAACTAACCTTTAGTTTATTAAACCTCCATTTCTTTCTATAAGAAACGAATAAGTAATTCTTAAAAAACTGATTTTCAAGAATAAAAAAATTGTAGTTCAAGTCAAATTGGATTCAATAAATATGTTATAAAGTTAAATTTATTTCCCAAAATATTCTCATTTAATAATTGATAGGTTGATTTAATAAAAAAATTAAAGAGGATAAAAAAGAAAAATGTTAATAAATGGTTCAAACAAAAGATCATTAATCTTATAAATAGGAGCTAACCGTTCAAAATTCTCTCATAAAAAAGGACAAGAGGGAACTACTATCTTTCAATTTATGTTTTTTTAGTAATAAACATTATAAGAGAGATTAATGACTTTGATGAAAATGTCTAATGTTTCAATATATTTTTAAAAATAATAATCACTTCCTCCATTCAAAATTATAAGGCATTTTAACTAATTTTTTTAAAAATCAGGATTATTTAAAACTACAAACTCTATTCATATTTACATTTATTTAATAGGATAAATTAGTTATAAATAAATATGAAAATTTCATTAACTTTAAATATTCAGTAAGGACTTTTTAAAAAAAATCATTAATTACTCTGGAAAACATTAAAATATCTTATATTTTTTAAGATGGAAAGAGTAGAAAAATTATTTTATCCCATAATGAAAAATCTATAAATAAGTCATTTTTTACTACTTCAAAAAAATCAAGGAAAGTTAATTATCTTATTAAATTGATCTTAAAACTGAACGAGTTTCGTTTTTTTATCCCTAATTAATATTATAAATTTAAAAATCAAATATTCTTGCTATTGTTTTAAATGGAGAACATCTTTGGGGAAAAACGTTAAATACCCCAAAAATCTTTGTAAAATGACTTATATTTTAGGTCACAACTTCCTGCTAGAAAGTGGCAAAAATTTAGGTCAGGAGCAAGTCCTATTTTATAGGTCATGTTATCAAAATTTTATCACAAATTTTTTTCTTTTACACCCAATTAAATATTGACAAGAGAAAGTATATTATTAAAATATACATCAAAAACTAGATATAAAGTTAAAAAAAATTTGTTCTATCAAAAAAATTTTCTTTTTTTATCCTATTTATAAGTCATTTACAACATGATTCAATGGAATAAAAAAAATTTTAAAACACATTCACTCTGATTAAAAATTTAATAAATTTTTAACTTTACATCTATTAAATATTCATCTTTTAATAACATAATTTTTCTTACTAACATTTAATAAAGAATAAAAAATAAAATTATAGCAAAACATTAATAACGTAATATATAAATAGAACAAAAAAATATCTTATAAATAAGATTAGAAAGAGTAATTAATTTTTAAAAAAGGGGTTAACAAATTTAAAGTTCAAAAATTGACCGGAGGTAACATTTAAAAAAAAAACAATTATTAGCTAAAAATAATAATAATAATAATAATAATAATAATAATAGTTAAGGAAGTGGCATTTCGAAGACAGGTAGTGGTTGTTGGATTGCCGTCCAACTACAACCATAAAGGAAACAGCAGTAGACATAAATGCTTGCGCGCTTCAAGAAATGAAGGATTCATTTATTAATATTACGATGTCCTCAGATTCATATCTTGTGAAAGCCAATTAAATATCTCCATCATTCATCAAAACATCCATTGAATGGGACTACGTATGGGCCCAATACATGTTGCCTCGTTTGACTTTGTTTTGTATTTTATAATTACTCCCTCGGTCCCTCCATTCATATTAAGTGTATGTGTGGATAACATCATAATTTAAATTAGGATGGCCCAAACCCAAAAAATATTGTTTGGATTAATGTTAGAAGGCAAATGCTCGTTTGATGTGAAGCCATAAAAAATAGCTTTTGAAACGCAATGTAGGGAGCTCATTTCTTAATGCAAGGGTACATTTTTTTCCTTCATGAGTACATGAAATTAGAGGTGAGTTATATGCTTTATTTTGAAATATTATAATTTATTTTTCAATTAAATTTGATGAGATTGATTCATTGACAATATTATAATTATAATTTTTTTAATTGTATGTAGAAATTTTGAATTAAGATAATTTGTAAATTTATTTATCTTTTAGAATTGAATATTTTGTAATTTATAAATTTGTAAACTAACTTTTAAATTCAAATCATCCAAATAAATGTGAGCCTATCCAACTGACTTTTAAAAAAATATCTAAACATAAATTACATTATATTTACATACTTTTCTCTTAATTTCAACAGAATCCTAACTTCAATTAAAAATTTTTTAATTCACGCACACTAAATGTAAAACATTTTTAATCAAATCTTTATCCCTAATGAATTAGTGAACTATATTCAAACTAACACTATCTTTTTATATTTACCTTTATTTAATAGAATATTTTACTTAAAAATAAATATAAAATAATTTATTTATTATGAACATTTTTAAAAAATTATATCTTGAAGTACTAAAAACATTTTACGTTTTTTACTCCTACCCCCTCAAAACATATCTCATATTTCAAACAGAGGGAGTATCTAATAAGTGCGTGAGAGAAAATTAGATAATAGAAGCAAGCTGTCATTTTGTTTCACAGCATGCCTTTGTTATTCTCACCTCTCATCTCATCTCTCACCAATTAAATAATAGAAGCAAGCTCGTCACACCCAATCTTATGTTTCTACTTCAAATCTCAACTCCTATCTTTTCAACCTTTAAAATAATAATATATGAATTTTAAAAGTGAGATTTTAAATATAAAATCAAAAATTAAATTTATAAATCCAAACGCTGCCTAAAAGTCCTTGACATTACAGATTTCTTAATGATAAAATTGTCCTAATAACCATTTTAAAAGAAAAATATTCAGTGTTCACTAATTTTACACACAAGACAGACAAATTTTACATTTAGAATCCAAACATGTTGGAGAAGCCAAAGCCCATATCTCAAATCAAGACTTGCCAGTTTTAAAGTTACATACCCCATATGCCACGAGCTGATGCTATTTTGTTGCTTGGTCTGGACGTTAATTCATATAGTATCCTCGCAAATGTATCAGAAAATCTGCCATCAGTGAAAAGAACCTCAGCAAAGGCATTCTCATAAGCTAGCAACAATGTTCTGTTTTGAGGCTCTGAAACTAGGCTCTCCAATATCATGGCAGCTTTCCTGCAAACTTCTGGAATAGGATGTGGTGCCTTTATCACTTTAAGCAGCCGATCTATGGCCCTGCATTGAGAGATTCTTCATTAGTTTTACAATATTGAATTGAAAATTTCTATTTATGGCAATTTGAAAATTGACAATGCAGGTGTTTGATTTTACGTTGTAAACTACTAGAAACCACGTTCGGGTGGTGTCTAACGTGAAACCAAACACACCCACATCAACATGAGTTTTACGTTTCTGCATGTTGGGCTATAGCATCTGCCCTCGACAAGGCATCGGATATTATATTAATTAGTGTTTAATATAATTTATTTCGGTTAAATTAGTTTTGACCAAAATCAAAAATTGATACTTGATTCTTAACCAAATTCGGAATCACTTAATCCTCCAGATAAAGGATATGCCATATCATAATCATCCTCTCATAATAAACAAGGATTTACCACGACATGATTTCCGAATTTACATCAGCCATCCCCACTATAACAGAGGAAGTTGGCTGAAAGAAAAAGGCACCAGAGTTGAATGCCTCGTCTCTATACACTCTTCCCTTCTCAATCTCTTTTTCTCTGTTTAGAGGTGCGTCTGTTGTGCCTCATAAAAAAGACTCTAGCAATCTATTCTCCACATGGGTACTATTCTCTGTGGGTTTTCGGGTTAATTGTGTACGTCTCTTTCCTAGCTCAATTTAATTTATGCATGTTTGTTATTCATTTATTTCCTTCACTACAGAACCACAGATCAAGGGAAAACAAAAAGGGAAGAAAGAAATCATCACCATCTCTCACTTGCAATCTTCAACCTGCAGTCCATATTGACCTCAGCAAGGTTATAGAGTGCACCTACAGCAGCTGCTTGAGCATCAAATGCTGGTTGGCTGATAAGATCAACTAAACGTTTGTGTATCTGCAGTGGTCAATTAGCGTCCATTATATTTTTGGTTGCATGCAAGATATTAACATGATAGGTGAGGTACACTGAAGAATTTTAACCTGTGGAAAGAAAGGAAGCAAGAAAGGCTCATTATCAGGATTGATGATCAAACGACCAAGTAATTCTGCAGCAGCACAATGCCAAACTTTGACTGTAGATTCCAGCATACCCATGATGGCTTTAACAGCACGTTTCTCTCTGTTAGAAATAATGATTTTATCAATCAGAACTAAGAAAACGTACAAAAACATTAAAAAGTGCTTAAATCACTTACGTTATTTTGATAAATGATGGCTTGGATGAACTAAATATTCGAAGATCTAATAGTGGAGCCAAGTTAACAATTGTCTCTAGCGCATTTGTGACAAGTTCCTCATCCTCTATCAACAACATTGAAATTTTTATAAATAATTCATGATAAAGCACTAAACAGAGGCATTATAAGTGAAGTTTTCACACTAGTCCCATGATAATGCAAGTCACCCTTTCCCCCATTTTTTCATATTTACACATAAAAAAATCACAAAATTTAGGCACCAAATAAGCTGAAAATACCAAAAACTACTTTATCTTGCAGTCCTCAGATTTTTTACCTCAGTGAGAAATTAGAAAGATGAACGGATTACAAGTTTACAGTGCCTCGGATCCTTTGCAATTGCAATTGCAATAACAAATATACCTACCGGCTTAAAAGTAAGAAAACTTCTTCACATATTTATACAGTAATCTATGAGTTATAGCTACAATTTAATGATTGTTGACAATAATATTCGAGTTGTCAGCAATGTATGCCACCCTCAATTGACATGATGAGTTTTCTAAGTCCCGCATTTAACCACCATACAATTTTGAATTTTCTAACAATATGTAAGACCCGTACACAGAGTCCATGGGCACTTAGGTATTTTGGAGAATCATCTTATCCCCCTGTCCAGAAACCTATATATTAAGTCAATTTAGGATTCGTAAACAAATAGCTAAGCAGTTAACAAGCCTTTTTAATAAAAATAGTTATTACAATCACAATTACTACTATTACATTATATATTTCTTTCCAAAGTGCCTATAGTTTATCACGAGAAAGGCCTCTAGTAAACAAGAGAAGCTAACAACAGAGCGCCAAATGCTCACCATGGTTACTAACGTTTGATTGTGACACAATCAGCAATTTCAGTCAAACTGAAGTGATATCATATTTTAATCAGCCACAGAAGTGCAAATTCAATGCAACCATACTGTCTCTGAATTTGATTAACTTTCCAAAGATATCATAATCTATTACATCAGTATTCATCTGACCAAGTCCAAATTAGTATATCTGAAATTTTTAAATATTGCACATCAACAACAAAAATAAGCAGCTTAAACAATGAAGAAATTAGTTGAAGCATAATAGTATTATTGAAAAATTAAAACAAGCAGCTAAGCTTCAATCAGAAACAATCCTCACCTACAATGTAACCTTCTATGCATTGGAAGACTGATTCCAAACAATGCCGATGTTGGGCCATGATAACTTCATTGTCTGGCATAAAAGAGAAGTTCCTGATGATATTTGAAGCAGCAACAGCACACTGTTGTCTTTCTGATCTCCCTTCATCATCTAAATTAAACAGAGAGTCTTCATCAAACCACAGCTCTGAAAGACGAGATTTTGTCATGCCATTCTGCTGTCTTGATTCTGTACCAGTAGGACCAGATGATTGGCTGCATTAAGAGCACCATCCTGTATTCAGATTCATTTTCTTTTCTTCTACCCCACAAAGAGCATATTATAAAATGAAAAACAGGGAATTCAAACTCAATGAGACATAATAGTACAAAAGTGATTACCCTAATGTACCATTTGAACCCAATGCCTCATACTCATTCCCAAATCCAGTTACAATGGAATTCACACCTAATGATCTGACTCTTCGTGTCTTAATTAGTTCCTTTGGGAGTGCAATGTCACGCCAATCATCTATCTGTTTCAATACATGATAAGAAAATGAACCAGCATTTGTCATAGAATAAAAATAAAAGTATGACAACCATGATAATAAATATAGGAAGTTCAATAAGTCTTCCTTTTTGTCAGAAAAATCAAAAATGTCTTCAGACAGTTTTAAGTAACAAAATCAATACAAGCACTAGAATTTTTTTTAAAGGGTGGGGGGATAGGTAGCACATACAACTTGGAGAAGTGCATCAAGCAAACCAGGAATTTTAGCAAGGGGAGTTGCATCTTTGCGCATATCATCCTTCTCTTTGAAAGATAGCAGTGTAAGAGTATTCAATGCCCAGGTCAGCTCACTCTTCAGACCACTTTGAAGAGCCAGGACAATTCTTTTATTGTTTTGGTCTAAAAAGGAGAAATAAAATGGAGAGAAACAACATAAGTTAATGTAATGCAAAAACCTTTGAGAAATAACTAAGCACCTACAAAAGTGAAATTATAGTCATCCTGCACCAAGTGCTGTAATAAAACAATATTTTTTATTAGGAAAACACAATTATTAGTCCCTATAGTTTCATCAAGTTTTGCTTTTAGTCCCTGTAATTTTTTCAGGGTTTTCCATCCCTAAAGTTTTAGCAAAATTAGATAACATTTGTTCCTCAGGTCCCTAACAATGAATTACAGGGCATATGAGAATTGGAACTGCTAAAAGCAAAACCCTATAAAACTATAGAAACCAATGATTGCGTTTTCCCTTTTTTATTTCTATGATGAATAAGTGAAAAATATCCCTTCCTAAATATTTTATGGTTTTTCCACAGCCATCTTCTTCCAAAGGAAAAAGTAGTCCTCTTCTTTTTAGTGGCTCATCAAGGAGTTGATCAACTACTTGCTTGTTAAAATAGGATAACTAAATTGACCTCCTTATCTTTATCTATAGTTTTCATCAAAACAAAGAGATTTTTTTGGGTCAAATTCTTGCCCATTCATATCAGTCATCCCTCTTATCAATAAAGTCCAGACCAATTAAATTAATGACATAGATATCAAAACAATTGATGTTAATTGTCAATCAATTTCACAAAGTCAACAGTTCAAGGAAAATAACAATCATGTTTGCATTTTGACCAAATAAAAGAACAAAAATATATGAAAATATAAAATGTCAAAAAAAAAAAAAAAAACTCCTCCACTTTGTACAGAGTGCAGATACAACTTATAAGTCATGCAGTGCTAGAAGGGAGGAAAAAGGAAGAGATAGGATTAGATGCTATATCAATTGCAGAATGAGATTCAGATATGACTGGTTGATCTCTGTTCTATACAATGGAGCTTTGAACATGTAACCATATAGACGCATCATTTACATACTTAACAAAAGCATTAGCAATTACATTTTTTAGAATTCTGCAATCACATACAAGAGAAAACAGGGTTATTGAAACCTTTCATTTCAACAAATATCAACCTCCTGTCTAGTTCCTTGCTCTTTTGGCTGGGACAGTTGTTAATCAATGACATAATACTCTTCCATGGGCCATAACTTTGTTCCGTAGCATAGACGTCCAAGTCAACCCATCCAGTTAAACTAGTAAATCATTAAACTAATATCTTAACCGATTTAAGAAAATATTTTGCTTATAACCAATTTAATCAAGGGTCGACTACAATTTCGGCCAGTAACCCTTGAACCAATATCTTAACTAATTTAATGAACGGTCTAGTTTTCAATACCTTTTTTTGTTCTTTAAAAAGAAACTAACTCAAATTAAAGGATTTCTAATATGTTCCAAAATACATACATGAGAAAATTATACATATACATTCTACTTCTTTTCTCCTCCTGCTACGGAATTCCACGTATAGCAATAGTGACTTCCATAACTGGAAGACAACATAGTTGTAGCAGATGGCATGACAAAATCCACAAGTTCTGTTTTATTGCAAGCACATTTCCCAACCTTTTCTCCAAAAATAAAGAGATAAAAGAACGATTGTAGAATGCCTTAAGATTTTTTAACCCTATTTATTACCCTGAACTTTCTTCACAGCCTATCAGCATTTCAAATAACCTCACATGATGCTGCCAGTTCAGATTCTTTCCAAAAATAATTTATGAGAGCTTATGTGATCAGTTAGATTTAGATCATCTATGATGATGCTTAGGCTTCTAACTGTTTTGACATTGGCATTTCTTGATTTTAAGGATTTAAAGTTGATTTTGAGGGCAACACAGTTAAATTTGGATCATTATTGAGTTACAATGAGTTAGGTTTTAAGTAAGGTTTTTTTTTTTTTTTCAATATATACTATTTCTTTGTTAGTGCATTGTTGAGATTCTCAATTATGTGGAACATATTTGATATTTTGTATGAAATATGCACTGCATATGTAGCGAGTACAACAGCATGCACTATACCAATAAGAGCCATTGTGCTAAAAGCACATTAAATTTGCGCACTATTGACAGGCATAACCTCTTGCATCCAGAGGTTTCAGTCAGTTTATGAACTCAATTACCCAAATATGCTTCATACTTACGTTAACTAGTGGATATATAGTATATTTCACTTGAAATTGAAAGTGCACATCTAATATTAGTCCACAGGCAACTTAAAGAAGCATCAGAGAAGGTTTTTTCTTCTCATCATGATGTGAAACATTGGAGAGCTGTCACACACGTTAATTCGCGAGGTTGGAACGCCCAATTTCTGATAATCAGGATTGCATACTTTGCAATATGGCCATCACTCATAATACGGCCCGATTTTCCATAACGAAACAAAAACTTGTCAAACTCGAGCCCAATTCCTTTAACGAATGCAGAAATTCGAGCCCTTCGTTCTATAAATACAAAAGCAATACGATCTGTAAGTAGTATTGAGATATATAAGCTAAAATAAAAGCATTTTTCCGGCGAGAAACTGCCTCTTAGTTTTCTGTTCATAGATCTTACATTTTGGAACCGTATCGAATAGGGCTGGGACGAGAACAAGCACCCAAACAAGGAAAAAGTTATGCAATTTAGTAAACTCACCAGCGAAGGAGCTATGGACGTGGAGGGATGGACCGAGCATAGTCGACGGAGCAGCCGAATCGGCGGCCGCTGCGGCGGCGGCGGCGGCACTGGTACTGCTGCTACCGAAAGGACGGCCTCGTTTCGCCGGTGGAGCCGACGAGCTGCCGCCGGCTCCACCCGACTTGCTCTGGTCTCTCTTCTGCATCACTCTCTCCCTCTAGTGCAAGCTGACACAGTCCCTCGCTCTCGCGTTCTGCAATGGCGTTTTCTTCGTTTTTTTTTTTTTTCCGGTTACGAATTGCTTCATCGATTTTGAAGTTTGTGGGTTTGGGTTTTTTTTTAAATTGGGTTACTTTTGAATTCCTGGCCCATTGTTATTGACATCCTTGGGGCCCAAATAGTTTTGCGCATGTCATTTTTCTTCTAGTTAGTGAGGAACGAGCGTGTAATATATATATTTTTAGATTTTAGATTTAGATTTTAGATTTTTATAGGGTCTGATTAGTTTCTATTCTCATTTTTTATTTTTAAAAAATGTTTTGTAATGCAATTTTTAAAATTATTTTCAAAACAAAATAAAATAAAAATTTGCTTGGTTACGTTAAAATTAAAAAAATAAACTAATAATGATAGTTATAGGCATTTAATGACAGTGATTAATAATAAAAATTGATTAAGATAACTATAATTTTAATAATCAAATGTCATATATTTTAAAAACAGATAAAAAATAAAATAACTTAAAATTGTTTCTATTTTCTTGTTTTTAAAAACAAAATATGAAAATAGTTTTAAAAACAACTAAATAAAAAATACTTATCTAAACAAATTTTTAAATTTTTCTGTTTTCAAAAATAAAAAACAGTTTTAAAAACAGAAAACAAACAAGTCCCTAGATCACCTTGGTTCTCTTCTCTTTTTTTTTTTTTTTTAGGGGGGGGGGGAATTGAATATGCGTTCTCAATTGCACGTTATAGAGTCTGTTGGATTTCCATTGGCCTTCTCATTATTTATTTATCCATCAATTTGCTTCAAAAGCAAATCTGCATGTCTCAAGCTTTCTAGAAAATTTTGGCCATATAAAACAAGTTCTCTGCAAATTGATCTTAAATTTTTTGCCTAGTGTTCTTTAGTATTTTCTTTTTTGATTATTTGTTCTTTGTTTTGATTAAAAATATCATTTTGCCCTCAAATTACAGACTTATCTGGGATCTCAAACATTTTTTGACAATTTTACCTATCCACATTAAGAAAACGACACGATGTGCCCCTCCTATTAATTACAAAAAACGTTACTCATTAAGTCATATGAGATAAAATATGGGTCACGCGTCACAAAAGTAATTAATGTTACTTGTAAGAGGAGGCACATTCTAACTTTTTAAATGTTGATAAGAAAAATTGTAAAAAAAAATTCAAATATTTTTGAATCTATAATTTTAAAATTAAATCACCTGGCTAAATGGTTAAAGTGAAGAAGGCTGCGAAGAATTTTCTCTCTTCTTTCAGAGAGCCTTTGTCTTTTTAATTGTTTCTACAGATTCAAAGGCTCCAAATACAAACATATAAAACTTTTACATTATAATTCAACTTAACTATGTAAAATATGTATAATAATCAAATATTGAGTTATTCACATATAGACCTTGTCATATTCTTTGTGAGCATTGTGCTGTATATACGCATATAAAACTTGTATATTGTTATTTAAATTAACTACATGTATTATGTATAGTGAACAGGTATTATATTATACATATGCCTGTAAAACTTGTATATTTAGGACAAATGTGTCCTTTCATGAAGAAATATATTGTGCTATAGGTGTGATTTTTTCTATTTTTAGAGTCTGCGATTCTCCCCATGTTATGTTGCATGTGGATGCTTTGTACCAATTTCGTGATGCTGGCTCAATGCAATAGATTTAAATATATTTTTTGTCAATTAAATAGTTTAAATTCGATATGAATACTTTTATTTTTTTTATTTATTTTAAAATTTTTTATTTAATATTATTTTTAGAGTTTATCTCTCGAATATTTTTTAAATTCCAAGTCCTATTTTTGAAATAAAAAGTTATCTAAACTTGCATATATTAATATACATATATGTATGTATGTATGTATATTCTTTGAGCTATTCATATTTTAACAAAAATTTTACTTCAAAATGATGGATTTTATAAAATTCATGGAAGCATGGATGTCTTTGATGCTTTAATGCGTGCGCATGTTCAGTGGTAATGCAACTTCTAGACTTTGTATGATGATTTTATTTTTCCCGAGTGGATTGAAAGCTAATATATTTTCTTAAAAAAAAAATCCATATTATATTATAGAAAGAGAAATGGGTTTAGTCAAATTTTTACATTTTATAGAATTACATAAAGAAGAAGAAGAAAGAGATTATCATTTAACTAAAGAGAATTGTAAAAAAGTTTCAAATAAAGAAGTTACTAAACCCTAAAACATGACATAACCCTTAACCCATCCATTACTGTCAGAGTTACACAACATTTTTTTTTTTATATACAGATCAAATTTATATATTTATAAGTCATTAAAATTTACAGGAAATTATTTTTTTTTTTTACTTAGAAGCTATATCTAATCCATTACAGATCAAAGGGGGGAGAAAACCTATAACTTTTGGTGAATAATTTTTTTAAAATTATCATTTTGGACCCTGAATTTTAACTATGAACACCTTAGTCCTTTTATATATATATCTATATATATATATATTGTTTTTCAAGATATTTCCATGGCCAGCAGCCATGACACTAATCCCTCAAAAAATTTAAGCACCATTTAAGGAATTGTCTTGATGATTTTTTTGACTTAAAATAATTCAATTTTTATAATTTTTTAATTTGTTGTAATTCAATCCTTATAATTTCAACTCAATTATAACTCAGTTATTAAACTTTAATTTATTATAATTTAATCCTTGAATTTTGACTTTCGCACCTCAATTTTTATAATTTTAACCATTTAAAACATTAGTCTTTATATTTTGAAAGAATAAAATTATAAATATTTAAATTATGTTAAAATTTATGACTAATATTTTAAATTACTAAACTCTTTTAATATTTATAAAGACTATAAAGAATACAATTTTAAAATAGTTTTAATATTTATAATTTTATTTTTTAAATAAAGGGATCAATATTTTAAATACTTAAAATTATAGGAAGTGGGTTGAAAATGTCAAAATTTAGGAATTAAATTATAATCAAATTAAAATTATAATGATTGAGTTATAATTAGTTAAAATTTAAGAATTGAGTTATAATTTAGTTAAAAATGTAAAGACCAAATACTTTTTTTTTTTTGCTCTTTTAAACTCAATAAATTACAATATCCGAGTTGTGTTACATCAACATTCAGAATAATTAAAAAAATTATAAACTAAAAATTATATTACCTAAAAAGCATGCACGTGTATTTGTAAGTTGTGGCAAGACTACGCAGACTAATACATTTTAACAAGGATATTTTATAAATTTAATAAAAAATAAATCTATAAATTTTTAAAAATATCTCGACACACTACAAATTATTATACTATAATATTATTTCAATTTTCTGTCAACTTGAAGGGATAATTTTTTTAAAAAATATCATCAATGAAACTTTATTAATTTTAAATTATTTTATATTTTAAAATAATAAAATATTTTTGAAGTTATTTGATAACCTAGGACAAATATATTTTATCTTTTTCCCTCACACACACATCATTATGTTTGTGACACAGGCTCACATCCGCTTGGGAACGAAGCCCGGGGCTTATAAGAGAGGGGCTCATCCTCAATGCCATTTGAATGGATTAAATTTAATCACTATCGAAGCTAATTTAAAAAAAAAAACAAATGTGCCAAAAACATTTTTATATTTACATGCGCTTAAATTTTAAATCTCATACAAAAAAAAAAGTTATAATTTTTCCACTATAATTAACATATTATTTATTGCTACAAAATAACAGTAGAATGGTGCCATGGTTGTGTGACATGTATCAACCCTTCAAATTTTACTTGATTGTGTATTCGGCGAAAAAATATTTCTTATCCTGTATGTTTAATCTTCATCTTTACAGATTCATAATTTAAAATTATTTAAATTTCGTCCATATGCTTGTAATGAAATTTTTAAAAGTTTAATATACATAGATGTGACATCTAACTAAAATGCTTAAAATTAAATATAAAAATATCAAAAATACATCCCGTCATCTCAGGGTTTATACAAATGTAAAAAAACCCCCTTTTATTTTTCTACTAAAATAACACTTTTATGATAAATAAAGATTGGGTATGATTGTGAAAATTGTAAAACATGACAAAACACGCATAATTTACAAGGTATAAATCAGGCGGTTTATATTACGTTGCATAAATATTTTTTTTAAAAAATATTGAGATAATAAGATTATTTTTACCAAGAAAATCATTATTATTATGAAAATATATACAATTCCATTTTTTAATATAAGAGAAATTACCATTTTTTTAGTTTTATTTACAATAAAATTATAAATTTCAAAAAATATTTATTATACTTTTTTAAAATTGTCACTCATAAAGTCAATATTCATTTTTACTATAAAAATTTGTTTCATTAATTACAAAAATATTTTAATCTAATTTTTTTATTTTAAGACATAATTATTATACTTAATCAATTTTTTAAACTGTCTAAATGTGTTATTTTGGTTCAATTAACCCATTTAATTTTCTACCTTTAAGCTATGAAATACCGATACTTCAAATTATCTCACGTATGCTATATCAATACTTATCAACACTTCTTTAATATGTATCCGTAAAGTATTAGAATAATATTTTTAAATTTTTTAAAAAATTTAATTTTTAATAAGTATCTAATACTTTTAAATTGTGAATTGATACTTGAAAACTAAAATTTTTAAAAAATAAATTTATTAAAACTTGTAATATTAATTTTTTTATTATTAATATTATTTTTTTATTTCCTTTTAAAGTCAAACATTAGATTTTTCTTAAAAAATAAGTTTTGAATGCAATAAGAGAATAAATATTACATTTTATTAATTATAAAATTATAAAAATGTAATCTCATGATAGTCGAAGAAGAGGAGATATTAATACTATACTTATTGATAGAGACTAAATAGTAAGTAATTAGACATAAATAAAATAAAAATATAATTAATTATTATATTTATTTAATATTATTATAAAGGACTACATATACGCTAATTTGAATATTTTTTAAATTAAAATTATATTT